CGGCAGCCCCCCTCCCCGGCGAGCCGGGGGCGCCGGCCTGGCATGCATGCGCTGTGGGTAAGGACAGTTGGGGGTCGTCCGCAGACGTGTCCGCGGGGCGCCTCACACGGACTCCTCGGTGGGGAGCAGCAGCGGGTTGATGTACTCGAAGCCCTCGAACTCCGACTGGTCGATCCGCTTTATGACGTCCCTGTGGGCACGGGCGAGGGCTCGGCTACTGTGACCCCGCGGCGCCCCCGCCAAGCCCGCTGCGGACCCCGCGCCCGCGCGCCCGCTTACTCGTCGTCGGGGGTCAGCTGCACCGGCTCGCTGGTGAACTGCGTGTCGAAGTTGTCCAGCCCGTAGTCGTCGGTGATCTGCGGCTGGAACGGGGGCAGTGCCTGCTTCTTCTCCAGCTGGGGGACAGCGAGAAGGCCCACGGTCACACGTGCCTCCTGGAGACGCGTGAGAACATGCCGGGCCACCCTCGCCTGCCCATGTGGGGCCTCGTGTCCCCTCCGGGGCCCCGCACCACAGGGACGGCGGCAGCCGAGTGGACGTGAAGTCGGCCCAGCCCAGCTCACACCCGCGTCTGCATTTTGGGGCCCAGAGCTCTCAGGGGTGCCGGTTCTGACAACAGAAACAAACGGGACACTGAGAACGTTTGGGACGTTTTGGTGACTTGTGAAGAACGAACGCAGGCTCTGCCCGTGAAGCTGGTGAAGGGAACGAGGGCAGCGCAGAAACACGCGGGTCCTTCCCACATCGTGCCCGACACGTGTCAGGGACGTGGCCAGCACGACAGCCGGGTCACCAGCAATGTCCACAGCCCGGCCACAGGCGGAGACACGTCCGTCTTGTCACCAAGAGGATGTTGGAGAGGGGAGTGAGCGGACGGGCTGTCCCTGCGGGCAGGGCAGGGTCACACCGGAGTCCGTGTGCACACTGCGCGCGTGTGCGAGCCTGTGACTGTGCCGCTGCCGGCCACGGGGCCGCGGGCGCCTCCTCCATTCTCTCTTCACCTTTCACACGCAGCTGCCCGGACGCGTGTGAAACGCTTTCTGGTGGGAAGTGGCACAAGGGGCGTTTGTCACCCATTTTCCCTACCTCGGGTCTCGCCCTGCTTTAAGGGGACGCAAGGTCAGAAGTCAGGACCGACCGCAACCACAGCAGTGGGCTGGGTGCTCGCCGGGGGCCTCCAAGCCCACCCCACCCCCATCACCCGCCACCGTCACCCTTCCCTCAGTCAAAGCCGCGCACAGGAACAGTGCCACCTTGGAGCTCAGCCAAGCTCGGTGTCACCGGAAGGGGGATGCTGGAAGGGGGCAGGGGAGTCTGGGGCTCCCGTTCTGTGGTGTGGCGTGAAGGAGGTGACGGGGTGCAGCACATGAGGTGTCGGCAGGGGCCCTGTGCACAGCGAGCTGGGGACCCTGGCGGTCTCCGGGAGGACGCAGTCGGGGAGGCCGGTGCCAGGTGCTGGGGTGGGGGGGCCACACAGTCGCAGCGTGACGCAGCACACCTGTGTCTGACTGGACATGGGGGCAGCGCTAACCCAAGCCAGCGTTCTGCGCAGGACTGAAGAAATCTGGGTGGAATGCACACCTTCCTCAGATCCGCCGAGGGCTGACGGGTGGGCGCTGGGAGCGGCTGGCAGTGGGCAGGGAGCCCTGCTCGGTGTCACAGGCAGGCCAGGGACACACGTCAGACCTTAGACCTGCTGGGGACGGGGCTACCCCTGAACCTGGCCGCGGTGGGAGAGGGGCGACTGGAGCCAGGACCCCGGCTTGTGAGGACCGGAGGCCTCCAACGCTCTACACGCTCAGTTTCCAGCTGCCGCACCAGCGGCCGATGGACGCCAGGCTGGGAGCAGCTGGACACCCCGACAATGGACCCCCATAGACCAGACGTGGACACGGGACCCCAGACGGGGTCCACCGGGCCTGCCAGTCAAGCCAGTCTTGTCCTCTGTGCTCACCCAGAGGACACAGAACATTCTAGCAAAGAGCCAGGCGCCGTACAGAACGCCACTGCAGGTGACAGTAACCACCTAGAAACCCTAAACCTGAGAAGCGTAGTCATCAGACCCAAACCGCTGACAGCTCAGTGCAAATGCTCAGGCAAGGCCAGCTGGCTCACGCAGCCACGTGCATCCTGAGGTGGCCCGGATCTAGGACGTCCAAACACCAGGACACCACCGCCGTGTGGGGCTATGCCGGGTGGGCAGTGCTACCGGCCCACGTGAGCGAGGGGCCCTCGGACGACACGGAGAAGGGGGCCACGGGGCAAGGCCGGGGGGACTTCGCCGTGGGGATCCCAGCCCTCACTTTGTCAAAACACCTCTCCCCCCTGCTCACGTCCCCTCACAGAAGAGAACGCCCCTCGGGTCCCCCAGGCGCTGTGCTCCAGGCTCTACGTCCCTCTTAATGTGCAGCTCCAGGCCGCCAGGCAGGTCTGCACACCTGTGACCAGTATGGCCACCACTGGGCTGTCACCAAGGGCAGCCCATGCCCCTTAGGCTTTTTCGGAAGCTGCCACCATCTCCGTGGCCCGTCAGGGCCCGCATGTGGCTCAGACGCTATCCACGAAGGAGCGAGCCCACTGTCCACACCCACGCCACTACACCTCACTCCCCCATGGGTTAGACACGGGACCAGGGGCATGACTGGCTCCCAGGCCGCACCCAAGATCAGGCTTTTCAGCGGAGATGCACTGAGTAGGTGCTACCTTCAGAGGATATGATGTTACAGGCCATGAGGGCTCTCGCCAAGGCCCATGCGCTGGCTGGAGCCCACGGCAGTGCCCGAGCTACACTTCCTGGAACCCTAAAGCCACAGCGTCAAGGGTCAAAGGTCGGACCGGTGTGGGCCCTGAGAGGTCCGTGGGTGCCAGGCGGGGGACAAGCCTGAAGGCGGAGGGACATGTCACTAGCACAGCCTGGCGTGGCACCTCCCTCGGGGCGTGTGTGTCGAGCTTTGCGGACCAGGGTTACAAACAGCCAGGGTCCCGCTTGCTCTGCCCTGCGCCAGCAGGACAGTGAGGGTCAAGTCCTGCTCTGAGAGGCGCTGTGTGGCGCTCCCCGTCTTTGCCCCTAAAAGCTGCAGCGGGACGATGTCTCTTCCTGCCTTGAAATGGCCCCGCCAGGCCTGGACACCGCGTGTGCCCGGGAATGGCGTGTCCTGACACTTCACTCACCCTGGCCAAGGTCCCAGGAACTGGGGGGCCTGGCTGCCCCTTCCCCCAAGCCCCACAAAGTCCTGTGCATGGAAAGTGACGCTGACCGGAGGGAGCAGGGACCACGACGAGGGTTGGAGGGCGACCTCCGTCTGCCCCGAGCGGGGCTTCCTTCCCGTCTAGTTCAAGCTCCAGCTCAACATTCACTTAGTTGTGATCTTTTTTCTCAATAAAAACGTATCCTCGAGGTTATAATTCAGTAAGTCTGCAACCGCCGTCTGCGGCACTGGAGTTGAAGGGGCTCAAACAAGGGCTCTCGCCACCTCAAGAGGGGACGGACACCTGGACCGCGCCCTGTTCTGGGCGGCCCACCCGCGATTCCACCCAGAACCCACGGGGCTGGCCACAGAGCAGGACCTCCACGAGGGATCCAGGCAAGACCCCATCACCAAGCGCCACGCCCGGGGGTTATCCCTGCCCGCACTCCTCACGTGTGACTGTCTGTCCCAACCACCCCCAGGGAGGGCAGCGCCCACCACGCCCGTCACCCCTCTGGTGGCCGTGGGGGAGGAGCAGGCTGCGTTACCAGGTCCCAGTCTATGCTGCGGAAGAATGCGTGGGACTTGATGTCGGAGAATCCGGTCTGCGGCCGGCAGCCAAGCCTCTCTTTGGGGTCCTAGGGGTCAGAGATCAATGAGGACAAGTCAGCAGGGAGCCAGCACCTTGAGGAGGGCTCAGGCCTTCCCCTGCTGACACCCTCCCCAGGAAGCTTCCTCATTCCATGGCCCTTGGGCGTGTTCTGGCCCTTCTGTTTGTCAATGTGAATAAAAACCCCCATCTCTGTGAACGCCGGCCTCCTGTTTGGGGTGTCCCAGAGCGACACCGAAGAGGACCGGGCCAGGCCGCCTCGGTGGCTGCGGGCGTACCTTGTTTAAAAATCCTTTCAAGACATGGGAGGCTTTGACCGAGAGGAACCTCGGGATCCGGATGGGCTTCTCCAGGATAACTGCAGAGGTCAAGGTCCCGGTGAGAAGCCGCGTCCTCCATGGAGCTCCCCGTGCCCGCTCTGCCCGGCAGCGAGGGGGCCACGCCGGGGGCGGGGCCCTGGGCACCAGGTGTGAGCAGGAGCCCGGGGAGAGCTCTGGGGCCCTGGACCCCTCCGGCAGCCCAGCAGGACCACGGCGGCCCACGTACATGGCGCCTCTGCACATGGCCGCCAGAGGGCGCCACGGGGACACCCCAGGGGCTGGGCCCCAGAACCAACGGGCAGGTGTTTCCTGCTTGTAGCTGGAGCTCTAAGGGGGCCGGAAGGGGGCAACGCACCCCCGCCCCCCACCCAGGCATCTCCCAGGGGGCTGGTCTGAGAGAACGGAGCTGGCCGCCCTAGTCCGAGGGGCAGGGACCCGCCCAGCCACACCGGCACCTTGGAACAGGTAGTCCTCGGTGTTCATGTCGGGGTTGTCGGTGATGATGTCGAACGGGGAGCGCCCGGCCATCATCTCGAACATCAGGACGCCCAGCGCCCACCAGTCCACGCTGAACCCTGGACGGAGCAGGGTTGTTAGGGTACGTCCAGTCACAGGGAAGCAGAAGCGTAGGTGACAGTTTGCATTTCTTTGACCTGTGCCGAGGCTGGGTGTCCCCAACCCCACCTGGCGGTCTGGGGGCGCTGGTCTTTTTCTTAACTAGCTGCAAAGCTGTTTCACATCAAGGCCGTGAACCCGCCACCGTGAACCCGATCTCATGCCCGTTTCACACCGGGCACTGCACCGGTTTCTCAGAGTGTCACCTGGCCTTTAAATCCTGTGTGTGGCACTTTCGACCACAAACACGGAAAACTGAGTGAATCTGTCAGATGACTGTCGTTTCTCACCTTTTATCTACCTCAGCTTGAAAAAGCTCTCTGTGGTGGCAAGAACACGTTCCTATACTTTTGTCTACATCTGTTGTTGTGGTTTGACGCTCAAACACAGCTGATCTGTCGGGAACACAGCTGAGCTCAGGGACTGTCACCTCCAGCACATGGGATCACCGTGGCAGGCCTGGTTCCAGACTCTCTGGTCCAGCAATCTGCTGTCTGTCCTCTGGCTGCTAAGTGACGTCAGTTGTGTGGCCTCCCTGGTCCACAGGCATCTGAGGAACTAGCCGCCCTGCCTACCCTCCATTTTAATGGCAAGGATGATGCTTAGAAGCATCTGAAGACACATTTGTGACGCACTTCACTGCCAGCCCCGGGACACAAGTGTGTGGGGTGTGCACACACACGTACACGGTACGATCTCATTCCCGTTTCACACTCAGAGCAAGAGGGACAGAGCGCATGGCAGGGGGTGGCCGCCGGGTGGCAGCCACTGACTCGGGACACCCAGGCCTGGTTTGCCTTTGCTCTTTCCCAAGCCCTTTGCTAAGAGGAACCCTGCCCAGTGTCCTCCACGAGCGACACTCGCGTGGACACACGGAGCAACAGATGGAGCTGTGCAGGCTCAAACACGGCTGGAGGCCAGACAGTGACATGGGGCTGGGAACAAAGTAAGGGGTGAGCATTTCGGGTGTCATTTGGTCAATTAAGCCCCTCCCCCGTCTACTGGGCCAGCACCCTCCCGCCCCCGCCCACTGTGAGAACACTTCCGGGTCGGGGGTCAACCTCACCACGCCCGGCCGCCCACTCACCGTACTCCTCCCCCCGCAGGATTTCCGGGGCGATGTAGTTTGGGGTTCCGCAGAAAGTGCTCGTTGTGTCACCGGGGCCCAGGCCTTCCTGTGGGGACACAGTCAGTTACCAGGAGGGAGGACAACCTCCAGATGCGACGATGCCGGGGGCACCTGTGCCTCAGAGAAGCCCGCTTGGGACAGCTGAGAGAGGAGGTGCCAGGGCCCGGTCACCCTGGAGCCAAGGCGGCCAGGTGGTCAGCATCTGGGCAGAGACCCAGTGGGACGAGCCAGGCGAGGCGCCGTGGGGACCACGGCCAGGGGGCCACTCGCCTTGCACATGCCGTAGTCTGTTAGCTTGATGTGGCCGTCGGCGTCCAGCAGCACGTTGTCCAGCTTCAGGTCCCGGTAGATGATTCCTCTCTCGTGTAGGAAGTTGAGGGCGACGCAGATCTCGGCGGCGTAGAATCTGGGGGCGGGGGCACATCCTGCGGTCAGCCAAGCAAAGCCCCAGGGGGCGCCACCTCACAGCTCAGGAGCCACCTCACAGCTCAGGAGTCGCCTCACAGCTCAGGAGCCACGTCACTGCTCAGGAGCCGGGTCACAGCTCAGGAGCCGGGTCACAGTTCAGGAGTCACCTCACAGCTCAGGAGCCGGGTCACAGCTCAGGAGCCACCTCACAGCTCAGGAGCCACGTCACTGCTCAGGACGGCCACCATCAAACAGGAAAGAAGCAGTGCTGAGGACATGGAGACCCTAGAACCCTGTGCACCGCTGGTGGGTGTGTAAAATGATGTGGCCTCTGTGGACACAGCCTGGAGGGTCCTCAAAAATTGAAACACAGAATAACTGCAGGGTCCAGCAAGCCTGCTCTGGGATGTCCCCAAAAGAACCGAACGCAGTGTCTCCAAGAGACGATGGAGCCCCTGTGCCCAGCCGCGTCACGCGGCGGAAGCAGCCCCGGCGTCATCTAAGCACAGAGGGCTGAGTACAGCGGGTCCATCCCCACGGCGGAACGTCGCTCGGCCCCCCAAAGGAAGGCCATTCTGACGCCTGCCACAGCGTGGACGGGCCTGGAGGACAGTGTGCTGAGTGAAGCCAGTCACGAAAGGACAGGTATTGTGTGACTCCCCGCACGGGAGGCCCTGGCAGGAGTTGGACCCACAGTGACAGAGGTCGGGGGGCGCTGGGCTGGGGGAGGGGAGTGGGTGCTTCATGGGAGTGAGTGTCAGTCAGGGAAGATGGACCGTCCCGGAGACGGGGGCGGTGACGGCCGTAGGACACCGCGTGACACCGAGAGTGTGCTCGATGCCGCTGCTACGCCCTTAATGGCGGCCAGCGTGGCAGGTTCGTGTTATGTTTACTTCGTCACAGCCAGAAAAAGAGCCCGTGACTGTGAGTGTGTGGGGGGTGCGCTCTTCTCGATCTATGACCCGCCTTCTCCCCAAAAGGACCTCAGGTGACTCATGAAACTGCTGGGAATTTTTTCCGAGTGAGGAAATGAGAAAAGGGAAAACTGCGGAAAACAGGAAAGGGCGGGAGGGTGGAGGGAAACGTCCCCCGGCCCCTCAGGCCTGGGGCTGCGGAGCGGGGAGCCGGGCCGCTGGCCGAGGGGGAGGAAGAGCTGAGCGTCCCTTAGCCACCTGAGAAGGAGTGCTGGGCTCTGGGACTCGGAGGACCCTCCTGAGTGCCTCCTGCGCGGGGTACACGTTTCCCCCACACTTCGCCGCCGGCCCCCCGAGGACGGCCCCCCGCCCGCCTGGCCGGCACCCACCTGGCGTGCTCCTCCGGAAGCTTCCTCTGTCTCTGCATGTGGAACATGAGGTCCCCGCCGTTGACATACTCTATGACCAGGAACAACCTGGGGAGGAGAGAGAGGGTGACAGAGGCTGAGATCACAGGCGGCCAGTGTCACCCGAGACACACTCAGCATGAAGAAGTCATGACCCAGAACCTTCCCAGGAGTTACTCTCGCTGGAGGCTGCCGCGTCGACTCTCCTGAGTGGCCAAAGAAAGAGGCGCCCTGGGTCGCCCCCGGGGTCAGCTGAGAAAGCGGCCCAGACTGAGCAGGAGGCCACGGCCGAGGTGGCGCTCTGTGCCTGCCATCGAGGAGTCACCCTGGGGACACCCGAGACCCGGCCGTCGGCCCGGTCCGGACCCCGACTTAGCAGGACTCTGCGGCTTCCGTCCAGCTATTTGGTCTCCTAGAGGCACCAGGCCCGCCTCAGGGCAAGAGGCCCCCTGCGGGGCGGGGAGGCCCCTCCAGGGAGCACAGGCCGGGGTGGCGTGTGGGGGACAGGGCGGGTGCAGAGCTGCAGGGACACCCTGGGGTCTGGGTGGGGGACCAGCTTGGGTGTTGGAAGAAACGCCAGGAGAGCAGGGGGCCAGGGGACAGCATGGGCTGTGATGGGGACAATGAGGTCCAGTGAATGACCGCTCTGGCTACTGAGTCTAGATTTACCCCAGGGAGGGGACAGTGGGCGGGTGGAGGAGTGACGGGGGTGCCCTGTCACCAGGCGAGACACAGATGGCTCGGGCCCGGGGTGGGGTGGTGAGGGCGGGGTGGAGGCAGCGTGGAGAAGGCTGCCAGTGGGCGGGGCGCAGGGACGAGGGACTTGGCGGGACTGTCCCCAGCGCAGGGATGACTCGGAGCAGCAGGCCCGGCTGGGTCCACCGTGAGCACCGAGGGGCAGCTGGGGCCAGGCGGGGGCTGCTGTGACCCCGGGTATAAAGACCCGAGAGCCGACGTGTGGTCGAACGCACAGGGCGCTTTAGCCCCCAGACAGCCACCCGAGGGTGCTTTCCGGGTGGGTGCCTCTCGCATCTCATAAGATTCCAGTTTCAAAACTGAATTCCACTCGACTTTCCAGAAATACCCTGTCGAGGGCACTGGCAGGAAGAGGTGTCGCCCCAACAGGGTGCCGCCGGGAAACGCCTCAGGGCCCCGGCCACACGGTGACATTCGTGATGAGGGAGGCTTTGACAACAGGGACACGAGCCACGCCACGTCCAGAGAAAATGAAGAAGAGAAACACACTGATCTGAAAATCATAAGTAAAACCCCCACTGCTGCGGTGCCGTAGGGAGCTGACAAATTTGAGCAGATACTTAAAAACCAAAAAAAGCAGGAGCCAAGTCCGTCCTGGGAACTTCAGAGGGCTGCTCTGTGGGTGGACGTGCAGACAGGGCCAGCGGGCCGGGCTGTCGCCTGCGGTCCTAGGTCCCAGGTCACTTGCCGATGAGGAATCCGTTTAGCCTGCAGCACTGACGAGCTGCAGCGCAGGGCGCGGCTTGCACGTGATCCTTCATGCTCGACGTCTCTCCGAGCGAAACTCCACCGGAGCCGGCAGGAGCTGATTCGCTCTGACGATGACGCCCTGGGTGACAGACGAGCTGCTGTGACGAAGCTTCCTAACGTCCTGTTGCTCGTGGTGCCCGCCACACGTGACTCCACACCTGCCTCTTCCGCCCTGGGCCTCGGCGGCCTCTCCCGTCCTGGGCCTCGGCGGCCTCTCGTGGCGGCTGGCGAAGGGCTGCACCAAGGCTCGCCTGGGGCACTCACTGCCTGGCAGCACGGCCTAGCGGTGGCCCGGGACCGGCTCTCCCACAGCCTGCGCGTGCGCCCCGCCAGGAGGGAGCGGCAGCAGTCCATGGGGTCGGGACAGCACGTGACGTGTCCTCAATACTTAATGGGCAAAAAACAGTGACAATACCCAATTAGCAAAATAGCCTTTTCTATATTCTACGGATGGGGAAACCGAGGCACCAGGAGGTTGGATAACTTTCCCAGGGTCACAGTTACTGTCTCCTGATGTCGGATGACCTGGTGAAACCCGAACCCACACTGGGCAGCCCCACGCGCAGTCAGGACCCCACATCCGAGGCGGCCCTCCCCCAGCACAGCGGCCCGAGGGGGAGGGGCGGTGGGCTGGAAACGAGGCGCCGTCCCAGGACAGACGCCTGGGGACAGAGCAGAAGAGGGACAGGATGAGTGTCCAGACACCTGAGGGATGGGGAAGGGGCTGACGCCCGAGGGGCACAATCGGAGGACGGGGCTCCCAAGCGAACACGCGCATCGGACACGGCACGCAATGACCCAGCCTGACTCGGGACGGGGGACTCACGAAGGTCGGAGCCCTGCAGGTGCCCGAGAGGAGGGGCTTTGGAGCCGGGCCACCGAAGGGGCGCACGCTGCCCGGGACACGGGCGGGGCCAGGCCAGTCTCGGATCCCCCACAGGGCGCAGAGGCCAGGACACCCGCGAGACACCCGAGGGAGGGCAGTGGGGCTCCGCTAAGCTGGGGCTTGAGCGCGACGGTGAGTGTGGAGGGGGAGCACAGGGGGGCAGGCCCCACGCCCTCGCGAGCCGGACGGTGACGCCGAGCAAATGAGGGGAGCCCAGGACCACTGAGCAGCCGCGGAGGGACGAGGGCGAGAACGTGATCACGTGGAAGACGTGAACGGGGTGACGCTGACCAGAGCTGGGGGGCAGGGCAGGGGTGGACACCCGAGACGCCCTAAGCCCTGCGCTCTCGGCCAAGAGATCCTTCCACTGCAGCTTAGAAGGTTCCAGAGAATAAAGATAGGAAAATTTAAAAACCCAATAAAAACTGAACAGGAATGGGAAAGGACAGGTCGATTAAATGTCAGTATCAACGAAAAATTCCTAAATAAAATCTCGGCAACTTGAATTCAAGAGCACGCTGACGGAACGGCCCTCGGACCGGGCACGGTCTCCCAGGAGATCCAGGGCAGCTGGGCACCAGGAAGCAGGCTGTGAGAATAAGGCTCATCATCGCTCACCGGACGATGACGACGTAATTCATCCCGCACGAGTGAAACTCGTGACAGCCACCTCCACGGTGGCGAGAAGACCTTTGAGAAAACACAAACGTTCTCTCTGGATGGGGACGTGGGGATGGACGTGAGCTTCTTAAAGACAAATGGCAACGCTCCGGGTCGGCTCCCGGCCCGTCCTCTCCCACGCGTCCGTAACTTCCTCCCAGCTGCACTTCCCAGGCTCCCTGGCCAGAGGAGGGCTCTGGAGCAGATCGGTGGGGGGTCCGGGAATCGGGGGACAGTCCCCGTGTTCAACAGCTCAGGCAGAGGCAGCGCCTCCTTGGCCTCCAGCCCTGGCGGACGGGACACATCTTCCCTGGACCCAGGACCCTGTGCGATGGCCTCAGGTGGAGGCCCGGGGCTCTGCTGCTCCCTGCTCCCCCGACAGCCCCGGCCCCCGCAGCAGCAGATGCTGGCACCCTCTGTCTGAGACAGGTGCAGTGTCTTGGTCCCGCCGACCCGGCACATGGCAGCCAGCGCTGCACGTGCTGTGCAAACAGCAGGAGACCCCCCGACAGGGAACAGGCTGGCCCCCATCACCCGTCACCCCAGCTGAGGCAGGCACTGGCCCATGTCATTAGCCAGAGAAAGAAACGGACAGAGGCGTCCACCGGGATGGAAGGGGTAACATCGCTCCTATTTACAGGTGTTATCAGTGTGCACCCCAAACCCAAGAAAATCGCCGAAAATTACTGCAGAAAGAGATCGCGTGGGGAAACCACGTCGCTTTGTTGCCAGACGCTGTCGTGGTAGGAAAACCTCGTTAATAATGGAAAGATAAATACTCAGGACAAAAACTAAGCGAAGAAATACTGCACGAAGAGAGCAACGCGTCTCCCCAGAGAGGGCGTGAGCGAGCAGGAAGGCGGCCGCGAGCCTGGGCGGGCGGCTTCGACGTCGCAGGGACGCAGGTGTCCCCGCGGGTGATCCGTAAACGTAACACAGCCCAACGGATGAGATTTTTTTAAAGTTCTAACCACACACACCTGGGAACGTGTGACTCGGAGGTTCCGGGCCTGTGCCCCAGGCCGCGGGGAGGGACGTGGGCTGCAGTGCCTGACCGTTTACATCCACATCCCTCCCAGCTCATCGCTAGATCCGCCAAGACACAACGCAAGACTCCGGACCCTTGATGAAGCGGGAGGCGGGCGGGCCGCTCCCCTTGGGCGCGCCCTAAGTCCAGCAGACAGCGGCCAGCGCTGGGCAGGGGCGTGGACACTGTGCGGTTGGAGCACCACAGAGTGGCCCTGGCCGCCGGCCTTTCCAGTGGCTCCTGGGTGGACGGGATGAGGCATGCACAGGACGGGACCCGCCTCGAAGGCAGCAGGACCGGTGGGGCCTGGCCACAGCGACCTCGTCGACGCGCCTGGACCATATTCCAGAAGTGACTGGGAAAGCAGTCAGGGAGTTCAGAAGCAGGAGAAACGTGCTCTGGATCTGTGCTTTCAAACACGGCTTCGTTCCGACGTAGGACCGACAGCCTGGGGGGCTGTGGCTGGGGTTCAGGCAGGGGGGCATCTGAGACACGTTTAGGAGGCAGAATCAGCAAGGTCCGGGCAGGAAACGACAGCGGATTTGGGGGAAAGCCTGGTTAATCCCAGACGCTTTGGACACAGAGGTGGCCAGCCAGCCCCGGCGGGAACAGGGGACTGAAGGTCCGGGGAGAGTTGAGGGTGGATGGAGACGTGTGTGAGCTGCTGGTCTGATGTATAACTGAGCAGATCGGACCACACAGCAACGCTGAGGAAGGCCCGGGGCAAGGCTGGTCCCTGCCCGGGGCCCGGGGCCCTGAAGAGGATCCGGTCCCCGCACCGAGATGCGACTTCCTAGGGCACGCGAGGGTCACTGCGCTTCCACGTTTGTGCGCACACTGCGGTTGGTGCCGAACACCGGCTTTGTCTGGGAGTCTGGGATTTCGCTCCCCGTCAGGTGGAAGGTGCCCACATGACCAACCCCCAGTAGAAACCGTCAGGAGGCATCACGCGTGTCCTGGGCGACTCCCGGGGGACGGTGCTCGGCGCGTGGCCGGTCCCCCCCCGCCCCCCGGGGACCGTGCCCGTCCCCTTTGCCGACTTTGTTTCCACAGCAAAGAACGTTGGCCTTGAGCGCGACTCAGCTGGGCCCTGAGAGTTCTAGTGAATCATCAAAACAGGGGCGCCCTCGAGGACCCCCACAAACCACAGTCAGTCATTTTTCAAATAAACAAAGTGGGTGAGTTTGAGTCGACTGGCAGAGTGAATTCTGAACAGAGTATGAATTAAATATCCTAAGCCAGGACTTCTCAAACCTTTCGAAAGCAGAATTCCAACGTGTGTACGGCTTACGGGTCAAGCTGCTGGCATTAATTAATTGATCCCACCAGCCAGTAAGACGCAGAGGCGCAGAAACCCCCCTCCCATCGGGCAGCCTGGCAGCCTGGCCTCAGTGGGATGCTGTCGATAAATACTTAGTAAACAGAGTTAAGTAATTTACGTTCAGGTGTGTGAAATTTACTTGACAGCTGCCAATAAGAACGACAAAGCGAGTTAGATGAGCGGCAAAACCCCGTACTAGCAACGGGGAGAAGCCTGTGGCTCCTGCGCGTCGGGCGAGCGCACGCCAGCGCCAGCGGCTTGCTCTTACCGGCTGGTCGTCTGGAAGCAGGAGTGCAAGCCGACCAGGAAGGGGTTGCTGGAGGCCTGCTCGAACACGTGCTTCTCCGTCTGCACCCAGTCGATGTCCTGAAACAGAAACCGGGAGCGTTAACGAGGATCCGGAACACTGGGCCCCGGCCTCCCGGGGAGGGAGCGTGTCTGACTTCTGCTTGTGGGAGCCCACACAGGGAGAAGAAGAAAAGGCCCCAAGGAAATGCACCGCCATCAGCACCAGAAATCACGTCACCGCCATCGCCACCGTCACCAGAGCCACCGTCACCAGCCGAGTGCTGGCCTCTGGGCCGCAGGCCCACTGCACACGGCCTCATGTGCCCCCCGTGGCGGCCTTGGGCGGTGGGCGTCATCACCCCCACCCGAGGCACGAGACAGCAGAGGCGGAGAAGCGAACACTCCGCAGAGCCCCGCACCCGCCTCCCGGCCCTGCCCTCCCGCGCCACGCCGCGAGGAAAAGCCGCGAGGTCCGGTCCACTCCAGAGTCACGAAGGCCGCACAGCTCTGGTCCCACTCCAGCGCCAGAAACTTCCTGGGTCAGCTATGCCGCTCCCGCTAGGCTCGGGGAAAGCCGTGGGAAAGGGCCCGTCCAAAGCCAGCTGCCTCCCCAGAAGGTCGGAAACGGGTCAGTAAAGCCTGGGGAGCGTCCCTTTGCTGGGCCCAAGACCACGCTCCCTCCTCCTCGGGCGTGGCCCCGAGCCCTGTCTGCCCTTTGCTGTCTGCCCGCAGACCCCTAGGCAGAAGGCCTCACCGCACCTGCCCAGCGGGAGACCCGCGGGCCCCGACTCTGGCCTGCTCACGCAGTGGACGCGGGCAAGCCCACCCCGCACCTCACCCCGCAGAGCAAGCTTCAGCAGAGCTCCTGACCAGCCTGTCGGCTGTTCTTCAGAGACACCCGGCTGCCCAGCTGCTCAGGCAGAGAGCCCTGGGGGGTGGGGGGGGAGCCCAAGGGTCTCCCCTCTCGCAGGTGGAGGTGAAGCCACCAGGGTCTCACGCTCACCCGGCTCCTTCCTGCCTGCCGGACGCCCGAGGCTATCCTATCATGGCGCCATGCGGGGTGGCGGGGGGCTGGAAACACCCCACACTGATTCTCTCTCAGTTCCGAGGCCGGACGCCTGATGTCGGGTGCGGCAGAAGCCAGCGGAGCCCGCCCCGCCTCTTCCGGCTTCTGCGACTCCCGGAGTCCCTGGGCCCGTCCGTCTGCCTCTGCTTCGGGTCACCTAGTCTCACGTCTTTCTCTAAAGGGACACTTGCTGTTGGATTCAGGGCCCACCCAGAATGATCTCCCCAAGATCCTCAACGTAATTCCATCCGCAAAGACCCATTTCCAAATAGGTCCACAGGTACAGGGCCAGGGGTTAGGATGTGGACATACCTTTCTGGGGCCACCATCCAGCCCCATGCTGTGGTGGCCTTACAGCCTGTTACCACCTGTGGCCTAGACTCATGGCCATGGGACACCAGTGTCTCGCAGACACACGCACGCAGACGCGCACATGCGAGCCCACACTCGGCTCCTGCACACCACCCCCTGGAGCCCCGCCCCCTAAAAGCCCTGCCTCCGCACCTCCCCCACAATGGGCGATGGGAAGACGCTGAGTCGACCAAAGCGGTGACTCCTCCGAATGCCTGTCTCTCGGTCTACGAACTTGACCCCACACATTCCGTTACGTTTCTGGCTGGCCGCTGTGCTGGGCCGGGGGCCTGGGGTCATCCAGCAGAGCTGCTGGCCAGCAGGGAGGACGCTGGCACCTCCCAGGGCCCCGGTGTCCGCAGCTGTCAGGCGTGGACGCCACCGCTCACATGAGCTCAGCCCTCAGGGCCGAGGGGCCAGCTGGGCAGTGCGCTCTGCTGGGAGGACGCGCTCAGGTTCGGCCCCAGCTCTGCCCTCTGAGCCCCGCGCCTGGGCCGGGGTGGGCAGGGGCCCGTCTGAGGTCTGCTGCTCCCTGCGCACCCAGCCCCGGGGGTGCCAGCCGCAGCCTAACCACGCCCGAGTCACCGCTAGCTGCACGTTGGTCTCCTCTCTGCTCCTAAGAGACGTGACCTGCGTTCAGGTGTGAAAGGGAAAGATCAAGAGGCCCTGGGAGGGGGCTCCGCGCCGCCAGTCGCCACGGGAACGCAGGCCCGCCTCACAGCCGCCAACGGCGCCGACGCAGGAAAGAGCAGCCGCCGGGAGGGATGCCGGGAAGTGGGAGGAAACGATGCGGCCGCCTGGCGAGCAGCCTGGCGGGTCCTCACGCGGTTAATGACACAGTCGCCCCGTGACCCAGCCATTCCAGGCCCCAACGACCTGCTGATCCTGAACACACACGTTCCCGGCAACACTGATCACCACAGCCAACGTCTGTCGACGGGCGGCTAGGTGGACCGGACGCGGCCACCCACACGCTGAAACGCGACGCAGCCACGAGGAGGGGGCGGTGATGCTCGCCGCAAGTGCGTGCACCCCGAACACGTGGCGCCCAGCGACCGACGCCAGACACAGGCGGCCACACGGCCCGAGTCCACGCATATGAAACAGCCAGGACGGGGAAGCCGCGGACGGGAGGCCGTGAGGGGCTGCCGGGGGCTCTGAGCGGGGGGCAGTGACTGCCAGGGCTGCGGGGTCTCCTGCTGGGGGGCTGAAGCGTCTGGCCCCGGATAGGGGTGACGGTAGGTAGCGCATCATCACAAATGCGCTAGATGCCAGCGATGTGTATACTTCGACACGGTTAAAAGGGCAAGTTTTGTGTGCTTCACCTGGGTGAGCGGAAGGGGCCCGGGAGGCCGGGGCGGGGCTCACCTCGTCGTCGTGCACCAGCTCCTTCTTCACCACCTTCATGGCGTACACCTGGTCGTTCTTCTTGAGCCGCACCAGGAGGACCTTGGCGTAGCTCCCGCGCCCGATGACCCGGATCAGGTCGAAGTCCTGCAGCCCCAGCCCCTGAGAGATTTTGATCCCGTCCATCCCGTCGATGACCGGTTTGAGGGCCTGCGGGGGTGGGGTGGGCGCGACACGGAGGAACGGGGAGACGGGCGAGGTCAGGGAGCTGTGCATCGCCCCGGGCCTCGGCGCCCCGACTCTGCTCCCCACCCGGGATCCCGCCCCCACTCAGTAAGGCCAGAAACTAGACTATGCAGCGTCTGACGGGAGGAGCTGGAAACCCAGGCCGCAGCCCCTCACCGACACCGGCGGCCCTCGGACTGACGCGGGACGCTCGGGGCCAGCCTCGCAGGACGCGTGAAAGGTGCCCACAGGCTCGCAGGCCCCAGGGCCATCAGGGCTGGGACGGGGGACCTGCCTGGCCCTCCCTGGGCCATCACCAGCTCCCGTCGGCAAAGGCCTGCCCAGGCCCCCAGCCTGCGTTATTGGGGACACACGGAAAAAGAGAAGGAGACTCGACCACCGACAGAGGCTGCCCCCCGAGAATTATCTGACCGACTGCTCCTGACTCACTCCAGACAGTCACTGGGCAGAAAATCTAGAAGTCCAAAGGGTGACTTTTGCCACTCACACTGGGGGAGCGGTGGCCAGAGGCGCCAGGGGCGCTGTCCCCTGAGGTTGGGGGACGGGCCGAGAGCATGGCTGGTGGCCGTTTTCCTTCAGGAGCACAGTCTGACTGCAGAGGCCAAACCGAGCCTCCGGTCCGAAGCTGGGGACAACAGGACAGGGTGGCAGAGGGTTTGCCTGGCCAGAAGGGCCACACGGTGACACCAATTTGCAACAAAATCTAAGTGTTTGGTCTCCCTCCAGGTGCTGGAACGCGGCCCCCAAAACTCTAGGCATCCCTAAATGCCAGGAGGTGTCTTTTGTTATGGTAATGAGCCGACTTTCGGAAAGCCCCTAAATCAAGAAGGCAGGGGGCTGGTTGCCAGGGAAACCGACCACGTGATCCGAGGGTTGGAACTTTCAGCCCCATCCTCACCTCTTGGGAAGCGAGAAGGGCTGGGGACTGAGCTGTCACCGAGGGCCAATGGCTGAACCGATCCTGCCTGTCACGGAGCCGCCACAGAAAGCCAGGTCGGGGCCCAGCCTCGGGGGCGACCACCAGGCAGAGATGTGGGGACAGCAGGCACGGAAGGCGGGGGGCCCTCTCCCCACACCTTCCATGAGCCTCCCTTCCACCTGGCTGTCCCTGGTGATGTCCTTCTACAATAAACTGGTGACCTACTGAGCGACGTTTCTCTGAGTTCTGTGACCGGCTCTAGCAAATTAATTGAACCCAAGGAGGCCGTGGGAACCTCTGATTTATACCAGGTCAGTCAGCAGCACAGGCGACAACCTGGACTTGTGACGACAAGCCTGCCTGGGCCCTGAGCCCGTCGGGTCTGGTGCCACCTCCAGCAGACGGTGTGGGAACTGCGTTAAATTGTAGGACACGCAGTCAGTATCCACCGAGAGCTGGAGAATCGCGCGGTGGTGTGAGAAACACACAAAGGGAAAATAAAGGATAAACGATTTGACAAAAACAAATAATTTGACAAAAGTTACAGCTCAAACACCAGCCCTGGACCCGCTCTGCCTCCTGGGCGACAGATGCTGGGGAGACTGCACTGTGCCAGGATCCAGACCCCGAAGAGCCTCAGGGGCAGCAGCCTCTGGGCGTTCGGACAGGGTGTGCCCCGAGCGAGACCCAGCGGTGACGGCAGCAGCCCCGTCAGGCCCTGGTCCCCGTCCCCTCCTCACGGCTCTGAACGGATCACGCTGCGCACCCCGTCCCCAAAGCCAGAGGGCCCGTGGCCTGAGCCCCGTGTGAGGAGTGCCCGTGGGTGCTGGCATCTCGTGGCTTCATGAGGCACTGACTGCCCAGCAAAAGGGACACCTGCCACAGGTGACAAGAGATGGTCACAGGAAACCTCAGACTCTGAATATGGGGAGTGAGGGACCAAATGAACAGGGACCTAGGCGAGCACCCTCGGTCTCCTTCTGACCCGGGGCCCACAGACAATGCCCCCTCGCAAGGGCGCCCGGGGGACAGTAAGAGGCTGGTGAGCCCGTCCCCAGGGGACAGCCTTCCCGCCTTTCTCAAAGCGTCAGAGGGCCTGAGCACAGGCTTTCCCGTGTGGAGGTCACGTGTGCTCCCTGCAGCTGAGATGGCCGGAGCCGCCCTGTCCTGACGTGGAAGCTTCCAGCATGCCGGGCACAGTGTCCACTCTCGTGGAAAGGGGTGGCCATCATCCAAACTCAACAGAGAGAACCCCGAGGCCAGTGGGTCTCCTGGCCCGGGCTCGCACAGACCCAGCGAGCGCCCCTCTCCCAGAGTCCCGCGTCTCGCAGGGGGCGTCCAGCGCACACGCGTCCTCGCCCTGAGGTCCAGCAGCGGCTCATGTTTGCCACATTGGCCGACGTGACCCACCGTTCGGAGACGCCTCTGGCCCAGGGTCTGGAGGGCTTCGTAGACCCCCGCTCCCCCCACGCACGTCAGCGTGCACCAGCCGGGCACCCACTAGACCACGCCCCGTTTCTGAGCGACAACCCCGAAGACGCCCGGCTCACGTCCCACGGCGGCCCCGGAAGGAGCTCGCGAACTTCTGCAACGCGCCCTGGGCGCTCGCACGGGCCGCTGTGCACACTCACCTCGGCGTCATCTTTGATGCTGTCGCGCTTCCGGGTGGAAGGGATGTAAGTGACTAGTGAGAGAGGGAGAGGAGGCCGTTACGGTCGCCCGCGACGCGGCCCGAGGGGGGCCAGAGGCCCTCGCCGCCCGCAACGCGCAGGGGCCTGGCCAGGCCGCGGGGCCCAGGGCCAAGCACAGAGCGGCCGCTCTGCCCGACTGAGTCTCCGGAGCACGCGGCCTCCTGGGCCCCGCCCGGACCTGCCGACGCCGAGCACCGGGAGTGGGATTCAGGGACCCGCATTCGTGACAAGTCTCCCCAGTGACTCACCCGGAGGGAATTAGTCACACAGGATTTTGGTGTCTAGTTTTCTAGTTTTTGTTCTTAGAGCACGCGTGTGGGTAGGTGGGCGATGGGTGGTGGGTGAGCGTGTAGTGGGCGTGTGGGTGGGTGGGTGGATGATGGGGGGGCGTGTGGATAGGTATGTGTACGGGTGGGTCACTGTTTGCTAAGAGTCTTCTCTGCGTGAGGTGCTAAGTGCTTTATGTGCCATGGCCACGTCTCACCCTTCAAGGGCCCGCAGGAATGGGACTCGCATTCATCGAGGGAGGGTTAGGGCTGTCACACACCCCAGACTTTGGAGGCTTAGAGCTGGGCCCTCATCAAAATTGGTATCGAAATCTCTCTCCAAATGCTTCTTAGCATTAAAAAAGTCCCTACTCACAAAA